CTGGGTCACTAATTCTAAATTTTTGAAAACGAATTTAAAAACTATGAAAATATAGAATTTATAAGACAAAAATTTATATATATATTAGATTTCGGCATTTTTATTTTCGCTAAAAAATCGATGTCTAAATACTTTCGGCACAACTGCAACTGTTTCTACGGCATATGTACAGTATTAATTGACGCACAACATAAAAAAAAAAATTTAACTGATATCATGTAAAATTATATACTTTCTTTTTCATATTAAATATTTTTAAGCAAATTTTATTTCATTTTTATTATTTAATATATTTATTACAAACATTACATACATTTACAACATTTTATACATTTATTTAATAAACTTTATTTATCGTTAAATTATTAAATATTATACAATAAAAAAAAAAATAGAGATACTTCGTTTCAGAGATTAAATCTCTTACTTGTCCCAACCACCGCGTAGAGGTGTATCTCTTCGGTTGGGAAGGCGAACCCCAACCCATCTCTCGCCGGTACTTGTCGTGGCTCGGTTCCCAGTCGAGCGGGTTGTTCATAGCTTTGTCTCAATTTATTCTCTAGAGCTCGAGAAATAAATAAAAAACTCCCTACATCCACCCTTAACCCACCAAAAACATCTTAAATACATCGAAAAAATTACAAGAAAACTTTACATCCATCAAAAAAACCAATCGAAAAAAAAATAAATAAATAAAGGTGTATAAAACAGTGTATAAACTATAAAACAGTTTATAAATTATAACAATAATAACAATAATAATAAAGAAAAAGAAGTAGTGATAGCGATAGTAAGTGATAAAAATTAATAATAGGGATAAATTTTGTAAGAAAAAAAAGAAGTCCTTATATATCTGATTCTTTTTTCAAACGCGTAAAATTGAAGCCATTTCGTATTGTGATTGTTATCGTTATCTACACTTTATTTATCCTTAATTGGAAATAAAGCATCATAGATGTCATGCAAAGATTATGACGTGTTTTGTATGGAATGATGTTTTAAAAAACCGGTTTGGGTCTAGATTTGGTTTCTGAACTGCGTGCTTTCGATCCAGGTACGTACGTACATACCTGATACGTAGGTACTGTACGTGTATTATCTGTTAAATGACTTTTTTGCATCCACGTGATTTACTCACTTAAATCTTTAAGAGAAAAGTTAAGAAAACAAATAACTATATATTTACTCCAGAAAATGTGGTAAACGAATATAACATAGTTTACAGTCTCCTAAACTGATCTACGTAAAGATGCCGTGAAGCTTCACATGATTCTAAATTTTATCACAAAGATACACCCCTTCTATGAATACTTCTGTTATGGAAATTGATTTATTTTTTTTTTTTCGAAATATCAATCTTTATCATGTAAAAATACCATAATTATATTAGCATCAGAAATGTAATGAGTTCGTTTGTGCTAGATTGGATTCAAATGAATCTGAATGGGCTCAATGAACTCGGAATAGGCTCATTTGAACCTGGATTGGGTCCAAATGAACAGATCTATTTAGAAATTCGGAACTGGAATATCAGGACTATCAGATATGAGTTTTGTTAACAATACCGCCGATGATTTTTATGCATGCCGCAGAAATCACGGAATCAGGTCCTAAACACGAAGAAAGTAGGATTTATAATTTTTTTATAACGATAAGTACATGATGCTAAAAATTTAGCTTCCAAAAATTTCCGATGTAGAAAATAAATGAATCTAAAATACGAGCATGTTCGAATTAAAAATTTTGCCTTATTGCAGAACATTCGAAGTTTCTAATATAACCAGCACAGAATTCATGAATAATCAACGCAGAATTTATGCAGAGTTCATAAATCTTAATGCACGTAATTTTTGCAGAATTTGATTTTGTCACAATTTGTCTTATAAGAATCCATCTCTAAATCCCGTTGAGGAGACGTGATCTCGTCCTCATTAAGAAATGCAACCAGTCCTCACAAACACGATCTAAAAAATACTAATGCTATTCCTCTATTTTTTTTTTATTCATTTCATTACTCTTTCTCTCATTGCTTGAATAAATATTTCTTCCCTTTGTACAAGTTCATCACGTCCCTTGTGAGGTGTGCAATATTAGCTTATGTATTGTATGATATGTTTCTCTAGCAGCTTAAGAAATGTAATAATGAAAATTTTTATTTCTCATTATAACAAGATGGTAATAAAGTTTTTGCCGGGATCCTCACAAGTTATAAGTATTAAATAAAGGATAAATGAATCCTCCTTATGTGTACATGTTCGATTAGTCCCAAGGTTGAAAAATGTTAACGTATGTATACCATTATTAATATAATATTTATTTTCATATTATTACATCTTTTTTATTTTATTACTGTAAAGAAAAAAACCATATCATTATACATGTACTATACAGTCAGTCAAAAGTTTTCATATTAAAATTTACAAGTTATACCTATAATAAGGGAAAGTTAGTATTATTTTTAGCTCTTAAAATATTATATTCATTCATCTTATTTACTGCTTGAAATAAATAACTTTGAGAATAATAATCCACTCTAATCCTAAAAAAATAAGGAAATTTTCCTTCGCAAGTATTAACAAAATACAACAACAAATCGTAATTTACATCCGCGGCTAGATCTTTTAAACAAATATTTTTGGGTACCGTATCAGTATGCACTGCACCTTCTATTCCTGTAGGTACATATCCAACACTGTACATTAAAAGTTATGATGCATAAACTTAGATGAAAATAAAAAAAAAATTCAAATGTTGGAAAAGTATTTATAAATAACTTACGTATCATCAATAGTTTCCCATCTATTATACCCTAAAAGTTGCTTATCAGCAGCCCTCAAAGCAGTGGCATTATTACAGCGTTGAGTAAAACTCTCATTTAATTGTTTAGGAGTAAAAGCATTAGGCGTGTATGAATATGAAGGTATATAATATTCATTTAAGAGATGAATCCAAGGTTTCGCGTCATTCCCTAAATTATCATACAATTCTGCAAACCATATTACAATTCTTTGATCATTTTCAATCATTTGACGTAAAGTTGGCCATGCAGTTTCATTTGTAGAACTCGCAGGAGGAAGTGTAATCATTTGAGAATAACCAGTAGTGGAATTTACAAAATATTTTTCTAAGAGTGACTGAATTCCGTGTGAAATTGTATAATATGTTGAACCTTTATCATTAATATGTCCAAACTCCAGAGATATTACTTCATGAGGATTTTGGTCCATGAAATCTTTAATGTCTGAAAACACTGGATCAAGTTCAAGACCTGACGCGAGATATATTCCCTCGCCATGGCAAAATTCTACAGTCTTGTTATCACTTTTAAGGCACATCTCAAAATTTAAGAGACGAATTCCTATAATATCAAATATAACTATTAAACAGAGAAGATTTGAATCAAATCGTATTATGGAAAATCAAATAGAAATACCATCATTAAGCTGCCTTAACACAGGAAAGCCAGCGGCATTTTCCCAAAAACATGCAACCATCCAATCAGGTACGATAGATTGGCAAGTACTTCCCCATGAATTACAAAGTTTTGAAGCTTCCGCGCAGCCAATCAACCAGACTATACACCAAGCATTGGTTGATTTACACGCATTATCAAATATATCACACGTCCAATGCAAGTAATTTGGATTAAATCTTTTGCATATTGATGTTTGTGCTTCACAATGAATTTTATAGTATATATTGCATTGAGTATATTCCTGTGCACAAGGAGTTACTGTTTCTAGACAGCTTTTAGCTGAAACGACACAATCGAATTTAAGATTGTATGATCCACTATTGTGAGTTCCTGGATATGTCTAATAAAAAGAGGTAAGATAAAATTCAAGGTTATATCAATTATCAATTAATTAAAGGAAATATACCACTTGGTTATATCGTAGGTCACAAAGATCAGCACTACCATTGCATAATAAAGTTTCATTAGTGGTAACTGCGCTCGTAGTATTCGTAATATTAGTATCTCTCTTTAAAATTTGAAAATATTGAAGATCTTCTATGAAGGCATTGGTAAATAGAACATGAATGATTAAAATAAGAGTAGTAATATGTGAACAAATTTTAGTCATATTTATTCTCCTATCAATTACTCATCAAATATTCATATATGCTAAGAGAAAATATGAAAAAAAGGCTCAACTTTTTAAAGAAAAACTTGCCTTATATTCTAGAAATAGATGAATATTTCGGATATTTATGAATATACACGGTTTCGCAAAGATACCATATAATTCCGATTTGAATTTTATGAATAATAGTAAGGGGATGTAATTTACATTTAATTTTTTTACCTAAAGTATCCAATCGGCATATGGAGTGAATAACACAACAGTAACGGTAACGGTAATAACTTTGTACGAACAGTGCTATTTCCCAATTATAGACAAATTAGAATATTTGCATTACTGCGTGATTTTTAGATTATGGTAAATGACTGCTAAGTATGAACATACGTATCAGACGTACCGGTACGTAAATATGGATAACAGAAACAGGAAAAGTATGCGATTGTACGTACAGTACGTATACAAATAAATAATCATGAAGCTTAAAGTTAATGGTTCTAAGCTGTGGCTTGTCAAATTTGCTTAGATATTTATTTTCATAAAGAAATCCAAGCCCCAGCTACAAATATATATATATATATATATATATATATACAGTATGTTTTGCTTTTTTTTTTCGAATATTAATATATATATATTTTTTATACAACAAAATTTGTATCTAAATATAGTACGTATCAACATAAATAAATTATATAATCTATCGACATGTTTAAATTAATCACCTGTTTACGTAGGATCCCATATATATCTATGAATGAATTATATATTTGATATTAAAATAAAAAATATATAATTAAAAAATATCGTGGTATTAAAATTCAGTATTTTTAAGAATTGGAATTGCTAGCGTGGATGGAGAAAAAATTACATAATGCATAAATTTATATGTATAGGCGATTATCTTAACCATTTCTCATGGACAACTTAAACTCAACAGTAGAATTTGGACGTTCTTGGCGTTCAAAATTTCTTTTTGAAAATGATTTCATTCCCCTCAATCAAGGATCATTCGGAGCTTATCCAAAAGTTATACGAGAAGCATTGAATAGTTATAAAGAAAAGTTTGAATCCAATCCTGATTTATGGATTCGAAAGAATCTCGGAATAGAATTAGCCAAGGCTAGAGAAGCGATTGCCGAATTTGTAAATGCAGATGCGAATGATGTTGTTTTTGTACTAAATAGCACTACTGGGATGAATGCTGTATTGAAAAGTTTAATGTTTGAATCGGGTGATAAGGTGAGAGTGTAAAGGTAATAAGACATAAAATAACATTTATCACATATATTTTTTAATTGTATTTATTAGATAATTTATTTTTCTACGAGCCACTCTGCTGTGAAAAATTCATTACAATTTGTTCGTGATCGCAGTTATGGTAAATTGGAACTTTTGAAAATTGATGTTAACTATCCGATTTCCGATGAAGAGTTGATCTCTAAGATCATTGGAGTCATTCAAGAAGAACACCAAAAGCCAAATTCAAGAATCAAATTGGCATTTGTTGACGCTATAGCTTCTGTCCCTGGTAGGTTAAATGTGAAGAAACAAAGAAAATACTCTATTATTTTATATTACATTATTAAATAAATGCTATTATCTTATTTTAGGGGCTATCTTACCTTTAAAACAAATCTTAGCCATTTTACGACAACACAACATTCTTTCAGTGGTTGATGGTGCTCAATCAGTTGGTCAAATTCCACTGGATTTAAAAGATCTTGATCCTGACTATTTTGTATCAAGTTGTCATAAATGGTTGTATTGTGCTTATAGTGCTGCCATCCTCTACGTTCCAGAAAGAAACAAGAAGAATCTACATCCTCCTGTTACTTCAGTTTATTATGACGAAGAGTTTACGCTGGAATTTTCATGGGTTGGAGCTCAGGATTATAGGTGCGTTAAAATTTTTTTTTTCAAAGGTTTTTTTAATTTGTTCATTTTATACAATACAAAACTAAATGATTTTTTTATTAGTCCCTATTTGACAGTTCTTCCGGCTCTAGAATTTCGTCGGAAAATCGGCGGCGAAGATAAAATTCTCACTTATTGTCACGATTTGGCTGTTAAGGGTGGAAAATTAATTGCTTCAATTCTTGGCACTGAAATTTTAGGTCCAGAATATATAATCCCAAACATGGTTAATGTCCGTCTCCCAGTTGATGTTTCTAACGAAAAAATTTCAGTAGAAGTACTCAATAATCTTTTATTTGATAAATATCATTGTTATGTATTACCGTACAAGCATAATGGTCATTGGTACATTAGAGCTAGTGCGCAGATTTTTACTGATTTGTCTGATTTTGAAAATGTTGGTAAAGCTTTAAGAGAGATTTGTGAATCTTTTAATAAAATGGTAAAATAGAAATCAACAAATAAAAATTATACAAATAGTTAATACTGTATTTAAATATTACTTTTAAGAAAACATAGTATCCTGAAACAGTAAGAAATTTTTCTGGAAAATTACTATTAATTTGCTTATGATATACTTTTTCAAAATTAAATAAAATAACATTTTTTTAATAATATACTGTATACCGTACAAGCGCGAAATAATGCCCACCTGCGCGTTATTTCGAAATAAGGATTGAATTCGCACCCCTAATTATAATATTTATAAAATCACGTAAACGACGTTGCGAAACTTTGAAGAGCTATTGCGGGTGAACTACTGGACCGTTTTTATGATTTTACTACCGTTAGAACTTTCTCGATCTGAAGAATAACTTTTGTTAAAGCTGAAAAATAAAGATTTACTTAATAACAAATCCAGTTCGGTGCACTTTTTATTTATCATTTTTTTTTATTTCATTTATAGGGATGCGCGTTAATTCGGGACGCCCATGGGCGCTAATTTAATTTTCAAATTAACGCGCTTGTACGGTATTTGAAAATAAGAAGTACAGTATTTAACTTTAATATCTGATATATACAATATTATAATATAACTTATTATTGTAACATTTGAAATTTACTTGTGAAAATTTGAACTTGAACTAAGAATTAATATTTTTTTATTAATAAAGTTTAAAGAATATGATAAAAAAAAAAACCCCCAAAATATATTTTCGTTTATTTAAAAAATTTTAAATATTTTTAAAAATTCCGGAAAAATAAAACATTATAAACTTTCTAACCCAAATAAACAATTATTCTAAAGACTTTAAATTCAATTGAATTATAAATAAATTTTGTTTGTTATGCATTATTATATATAACATCTGATCGAAAAAAAAATATACAAACGCGATCTGATAAAAGAAAGGCACAAACTCATTCATCCAATAATTCCTTTTTCACTTTTCCCAACATTTTACGTCCTTTCTTATGATCATCAACAGTTCTACCGACACGACTTTGTGGTCCAAATTGTTTCTGGGTGATGAAATTCCAATGAACCATAACCCATGATTTGTGAAAAGAAAGATTATTATAAAATTCTGGTGCGATCCTAAATACATCTGGAAGTTTTGACCATGGTACCTTGATCAAATTCGATGATAATATTAATCAATGTGATAATTAATAAATAAATTAATATATTCGTTTAAATAAATTTACCTTGGTAAAATCGTGATGTTCGTTATGATATCCAATATTCATGAAGAAATAATTCATTATTCCATAATATGAATAAGTTTCTTGACCATCATCAAATGTATAATGTTCTTGAATAAAATGTGCAGCTGCAGGGTGTACACCATATCCAAGCCATAATGATAAAACCAAATAAAGCAATCCTCTAGGACCACAATAATAATAAACCAAAGAATTGGTAGTGATGGTAAAAACCCAATTAACATACTCCCAAAATTGTGGAGTTTTTCGCATCATAATCCCTCTAGTTACATACAATACTGGATAAGTGCTTAACCAAATAAATTTAAGAAATGCATTTCCACGGATAAATTTCCATTCCCATTTCATTGGTAAATCCGGATCCATACCTACAACTCCTTGAAATGTGTGATGTTCTAAATGATATCGACGAAAGGACATAGCAATCGGAAATGGTAAGGCTATATTCGCTAATAATCCCACAATTCTATTTTGAAATCTGGTTGGCGCCGCAAGAGAATGTGTTGCCTCGTGAATTATTACTCCATAAAGCTGTGTTAAAGAAGCACCAATAAAGTAACAATAAATAACCATTGTCCAATTCCAGTCAGTAAGAATTCGTCCAAAAACATAAGATGCTACAATTTGAGCTGCTGCTGCTACAATTACGATTGGAACGGTGGAAATATCATATCCGTATAATTTCTCTATTTCTGGATGTTTTTTTAGAATCGTGACTTTTCGTTTCATGTGAGGTTCATCTAGATTATCAGTTGCAATATCTTCATCAACATACGGAATGGATCTTTTCCAATCCCCAATATATAATGGTTGACGATAATCTGGGTTTCCCTGTTCTTTGGGCGGTAAAGGACCATAATCCTTATTGTTTTCCGCGAATAATGGTGGCATGGTCTTTTCAAAAAAAAGAACTATGCTTAAAAAAGAAAATTTCTGAAAATTTCTTTTTTTTTTTTTTTTTTTTTTTTTATGCTTCACTAAAGAATGGAAAAATCAGAAACGAACAAATTTCATCTAAATCATACGATATTCTTATCTGAAGATTTGGGCTTATATAAAGATTGTCATTGTGATACATGTTCTATTAAAAATCAAAAACTTGGATACGCCAATCGTCGTCGGAAATCAGCTGCACGAGATGGTAATTACAAGATATAAATTTGGCCCCAACATTCGGGGTACTAATCCATCTATAGATCGAGCCAATCAATCTTTGTTCTCTATATACATATAAAGTTTTAAAAAGAAATTAGGATTACGGAAAATATATAATTTGGGAATTTAACGTTAATTACTGTTAACTTTCCTAAATGCATTTAGAGTAAATTATATATTAGGAAACAGATCGTTGTAGTCCGGTGACAATTGTTACCGTAGAAGCGTATATACAAGACCAGGCCTATTTCATTCGGCCATTTTTAGAACCTTTAAATGTGTAGAGTCTGAGTACCAGCTGAGTGATTATATCGTGAAAAAAAAAAAAAAAAGATACTTTGTATTTTATAATAGGCAATTTAGCTGTTTGAAAAAAAACGCATTTGATTAATAAAGATTCACTTGGTTTTAAACGCTAATTCATTACTATTTTTGGGGATCTTGTATATACTTTTACGGCAATTCTTACATACGTGCGTAAGTTACACGGAGAGACAATCAAGGAAATGTCTCTTAAACTTTTGTGTAATGTATCTAATGTATCTACTATAACTGTTTTTGTATTAGTTTTGTAAAGACAACGATAATCTATTGTTACCGTTACAAATACTATTTCCACGTTTCTATACGATTGCATGACAGGGTTTTACAACTATAAAAGAAACGAGTTTTTAGAAATGCTTGTTATTTCCCCGAAGTCCAGGGAATAACAAATATTAATGCTAGAAACTCGGTTTTTTTATTGATCAAAGTAATGATTATGAATCGTAAGCCTGTCATGACATCTATAAAAACGAAGAATAATTTCCGGAGCAGAGCGGAGGTACTTAAGTCCAGACGATAGGGAAGAAAAAAATTCTGGGTGGGTTCCAGATGTAGGATTTCAAACTTGGATTCTGTGTGTAGAATAAAAAATTTTCTTCCAAATTACTATTTCGTCCAATCGATCATAATTATAGCAGTATTATAGTTATTGTCACTTAATATATGGCATATCGTCAAGTTTAATTTTTAATTACTATCACTTAAAAGTTTATGACTTATCATTCTTTAAATTTGACTTTTTACCAATTGCTCCTATTAGAAGAACATGGGATGGGAAATTCGCTACATGCTCACGCTTACAAGTTCCTCTAATACTTGCATAGGTCAAGGTCTAACTTACCTAAGGCTATAGTAAATATTGGAGAAAGAGAGTTTGCAGCTGGTCTCTTATTCATAGCAATATCTCGGGCTCATTCTATTAATGATCTGATCTTTGAGCACTTTACTTTTGAGAGACCTCAACGTATTAAAAAAGCTCAAGGATGCAAGAACGAATGCTTGAAGAGAAACACTTATAGATATAAGCAAATTCTTAATTAATTTCACAATATGATTATAAATTTTAATTAGTTTGTTTTCATAATCTGGCTGATTTAGTTTTTTAAAATCTTAATAAATATACTTTTTAAATTAAAATGTTTTTATGTATTTAGAGCTTGGAATTAATAATTTTAAGCATCGGTTGGCCAAAATTTGAATGTTCATGTAGTGTTACAAATCGAAAATCGCAACTAATCGAAAAGTTGACAACTAATCGATTGAAAAATTTTTGGAACCTTATATTAAAATCGAATAAAAATCGAATAATCGAAAAGTTGACAACTAATCGATTGTAAAAATTTTGGCAATTTGTATCACTATGTTCATGAGTTTTTTAAAATATCAAAAACAATATAAAAAATTTAATGTAATATTAATGGCTTTGTTTTTTATTGTTTATAAAAAATCAAAAATTTATCATTATCAAAACAAGTAGTAAATTTTAGCTTTAACCAATGTTTAAGTTAAAAACTCAATTATTTCGATGCTCAAAATTTTTGATCAATGATCGATTCTTCATCGATTTCACACTCTATATGTGTTTTCTTATAGCTGGGTTAAAGCTATTATAAAAATTTAAATGTAATAAGAACTTAATTATTTAAACGCTTGTTATCTAATCATTTAAACTCTTGTGATCTAATTATTTAAATTCTTGTAACCCAATAAGTGAGATAACAATCCTTAAAGTAATTAATCATTAATTCATAGTGTTAAATTGCGTTAAAGCGTTCTTACATTTTCATTGGAAAGATAAAGATAAGTATACGATAATTATACATTTACACTAAAAACGATTTTTTTTATTAATATCTTGCAAATAAGTAGTTTTTTTTTGAAAATTAATTAGGCGGCGCTCCGGAACCTAACATATCCTGTTTTCCTAGTTTACCTCTTATTCCACCGTTGCGGGAAACTTATAATCACTACTTTCCGGTATACCAAGTGTTGCTAGAAACTTGTGTTTTTTTACCGATCATATAAAACGTGAAATTTTGAATCTAGTAAAATATGTTAAATGTTTTTTATATGATTATAACCAATAAAAAAGCTTAAAGCAAATATAGAATATTACAATAATAAAAAAGCTTAAAGCAAATATAGAATATTACAATAATACAAATAATTATAAAAGCTAATTATAATAAAAATAAGTATATACTGTATATACTATATAGTAAAAAATTTTTTTATTTTTAATGATTTATATAAAAAAAGAAGGAAAAATTTTATAAATATAATGACAATACTGTGTAAAAAGCT